GGGGGGGGGGGGGGGAGGCCGAGCATCCTCCCCCGACGGGCCGGGGGATGCTGGAGGATGGGGAGTAGAGGGGGTACCACCCCTCGCCCTTGGGAAATTTGGGATAGGGATAGAAGGGAGAGCTCAGGTCTAGAGCCGAGCCTCGGGGAGAGGAGCCTGGGGAAGGGGAGAAGGGCCCTCGCCCGTCGGGCAGGGCTCGGGCGCCGCCACCGACTGCGCGCCCCGTCGGGGCTGGGGGCGGCAGGGCCTGGGCCCGGGGGGGACGGGAGGGGGGACACCCCCGGCCTTCGCCAAAGCCTCCGCGCCCGCGGAGCGGCTGTCGGGGAGCCAGGCGGGTGCGGGGGTCGGCTGCCCTACGCGGCGCTCGGCAGGCGACGGGACGCCCCTGAAACCTTCCCCCAAATGTCAGAGGGTCCCGGCAGAGGAAGAGGAGGGAGAGGGGGAGATGGTTGGAGGGTTCTGGGTCCCTGCAGACCCACAGGCAAAGCGGTCCTAGAGACGGCGGCGGGGAGCGGGTTTGGGTAGCTCAGGGCATCCACCCGCCCGGGCAGCCGAAAATCAACGAAATCTCCACCAGACCGGGGCAGGGAGGGGGGAACCGGGGCCGAACCCTTCCCGGGGCACCCCCCGCTCCCTGCTGCGGGGTTGGGGTGAGGCTGCGGCCCCCGACCGTGCGGGGAGCCCGGGAGAGAAGCCGCGGCCCCGTCCTCCGGCGGGGCGATGCGGAGCCGGCCCCGCACCTGCCGTGCGGCGGGACCCGGGGGGTGCGGGAGCCGCTATTGTGTCCCCCCCCCCGCCACCTGCACACCCTCCCGCAACGGGGGGAGGGGGGAAATGCCGGAGCTGTTATTCTTCCTTTCACTCCTTCCCCTCAACCTCCCGCTCTGGCCGTTGGGAGAGGTTTCCACAAACCCTCCCCGCTCCTTTCACCCCCCGCCTCCATCCCCCGGGATGATGCCCCGCACGATGCCGGCAGCCTGCGTGGGGTGGCGGGGCAGGGGACGGTCACGACTTCGGTGGAGAGAGAGCCCCGCCGTGCCTCCCGCCAGGAAACACGACCATTTTCAAGCCGGCTCCTCTCACCAACAGGAAGCGTTAAAGATAGAACAGCCGGGGCTGGGTGGGGGAGATTAGGAAGCCCGAGCATCTTCCCTGCACCCTAAAGGCACGGCGGAACCATTCCCGCTGCCCTGCCACGGGTGGGCTTCCCAGTCCTGCCCAGTAACCCCAGTAACCCCCTCTCCAGGCTTTTCGGGAGGCAAAGAGGTAAAAATCCCTGCGCCCAAATTATCCAGAATGAAGGGGTCACTGATGCTCCGAGCAGGCCCGTGACCTTTTGAGCCAGCACTTCAAATATCTGTCCTTAATTATAACAAAGGATAGCTGGAAAAAACCAACCAAACAAAAAACCAAAAAAACAACCCAGCAGCAAAGAAGAAAACCCTATAAATAAAGGTTTACACCCTGCTGCCCCTCCACACGTGTCATTGCCCGAGCGGGTGATGGAGCCAGCCCCCACTTTGGGTCCCCATCATTCAGGGTTAACAAAGCCAGACCTGGCTTTTCATCCTTTTTTTTTTTTTTTTTTTTTTTTTTATTTCTTGAACTCCAAGCTGCAGTAGATGCTTCAGGAAAAAAAATAATAAATTCAAAATCAAAAAATCATCTTGAAATTACTCAGCTCTACAGGGTGAAAGGAAAAGCTGTTTTAGGGCAGTGTGGCGTTGGGTTTTTTTGATGTTATTGTTGTTTCGGTCAAATAAATGAACATTTCAGTCGCCCAGAGGCTGCTGTCCAGGATTCTATGATTTGTGTAACTTAATGTAACACCACACCCTGGTCCTGGGCCCTGCGCGAGCCCTTTGGCTTTTGTCTTCAAATTGTTCCTCGCCCTCGAGCATTTGAAGAAAGTCTTTAAAATATTAACCAATACAACTGTCATCTTCCTGTGTTTCCAGACATTTTACAATAGGAAACAAAGAACAAAACCCTACAACAATAGCTCAGAGGTATGAATTGCCTCATTCATCTCACTGGAATGTTCAAAAACATTAACTATTTTTTGACTGATTCAGCAGAAAAGGCGCTGCCAGATAATAAGCTTGTGCCTGATCCAGGGGAGATTCAGGGACCGAGAAAGGTTTTATTTTTCAGCGCAGCGAAGCAGCACCTTTCCTGAAAGGAAGCAAATACTCTTATTGATGGAAGAGGCTGCGTGAGGGG